GGTGAGGTTTGGGTAGAGGAGTGTGTAGTGTGTATGGTGTTTAGTACTGAGCTGTGCTTGGACTTTGTGTGGTGTTGCATGTGGCTTTGGTGAGGATTGGGTAGGAGTGTGTAGTGTGTGTGCTGTTTAGTACTGTGATGTAATGGACTGTGTGTGGTGTTGCATGTGGCTTTGGTGTGGATTGGGTAGAGGAGTGTGTAGTTTGTGTGCCGTTTGTCCATATGAACCCCTCAGGTGACAATGAATAGACAACTGACAAACTTTTCACCCTCAACCAACCACGTACCACTCTACGCTAAACCTTAAACCCTACACCCAACACTACACTCTACGCCCTATACTCTAAGCCCTTCTGCATGCTAGCGAGATCAGGTCCCGACTCACTCGTCTGCAGGTTTTGCTTGCCCACTGTTTGCCCTGTGACAACATGAGACGTATCTTCCACTCCCACCCAATACAATCCCCTATGGCGCCAATGTTACTACCCTTAGCCATGCCCCGTTTTCTATAGCCTCTATTGATCTTTTCTCAATCTGTGGCATCGATCAATCACCGTCCCTGGCGCAAATTATAAGAACGTTTCTTTGCGTTGATATTCTGACTCCGCCTGCAAACTCTAGACCCTACATCACTCACCCACGTGCTGACGTGTGTGTGCGAGTGAGCCTCCTTTGATCGCCCACTCACCCGCTGTCGTGTATCTCCGCGTGTGTTTGTTGTGTGTGTTGTGTGTGCTGTGTGTACAGATGGCTTCTTGTTTGTACTGAACTACCCTGAGCCTGTGGGTAAGCTGCACGTGCCACTGAAGCAGCTCAAAGAATACGACAACAAAATCATCGAATGCACCTGGGACCCTCTCATAGGGCCGGATGGCGCCCAATGGACCAAAGAAAGAATCCTGGCAACTGTATGTACATCACGCCACACACGCCACATTGAGACCTTAACAACCACACACGCCACATTGACAGTTGCACGTTGTATGCCGCTTAGGGAAATGTATAATACTTGCCTACGCCTGTCTATACGGAGGGCAGTTGTAAATGGATTTGATTGTCGTGATATACGCGTGCACTGTTGTGCCGAGTTGTTCTGTGGTTGATGTACGCGTGTGATTGCTATGTTTTGCACACATGTTCGCGTGTGGGCGTGTGAGGCGCAGCAAATGACCAGAGAGATGAGTCTGCGTTGAGAACGGCAAAATGGAAAGTGCCAATAAGGTGTTCAGAGTTTATATTTAGTTATAATATATATATATATAGTTATAGTCTATATATGTGTAGTCATATCTTGTCTATTTTATTTATACGGTTGTACAGTTGATATATAATGCGTTTATATTCACCCCATATCGCTCACATCCACCCCCTCTGCACGCCCTCACCCACTGCAGCAAAAGAGAGACCCCAAGTTCAAGTGCGGCAACTGGAAGTTCATGCGCATCCGCACAGACAAGTCACTGCCCAACGGATTCAAAACACTTCAGGGCTGTTTACGGAGCATCAGGTGCGTGCGTGTCCTGTTGTCTTGGTGTCAGGTGCACTTGAGCCCTATTCACCTGTGCTAAAGGGGTGTCCTGTTGTCTTGGTGTCAGGTGCACTTGAGCCCTGTTCACTTGTGCTAAAGGGATGTCCTGTTGTCTTGGTGTCAGGTGCACTTGAGCCCTATCCACCTGTGCTAAAGGGGTGTAAGAAAGTGGCTTTTCGCTTTGTACTTATGCGAATGGGGTTCAAGGAAAGTGCATGTTCCTGTGTACCTATGCGAAAGGGGTGCAGGAAAATGGCTTGTGCTTGTATTGTAGTCTTGAATTGGCGTACAGAGCAACGACTGTGTGATAGTTTGAAACTGAGGTGCGGTGTCGTTCCTTTGTACTTAAGGTGTATGTCATAAAGTCGGAACAAACCTGATTACGTGACGTGTGAGTACAGTGTAGGTTCTGTGTCCTTAAGTGACGGCATTGGGAGCATGCGCCTGTTTTGTATACAAGGTGCTTGTCATAAAATTGGTTCAATAGGTGTTTGCGAGACGTTAAAGTACAGTGTAGGTCCTGTGTCCTGAGATAACAGCATTGGGTACATGCACCTAGTTTGTGAGTTGTGTTTTAGTTTAGGGTTAAAGGTTTACCAGTGCACCCATGCTTCATCTCGTTTCTGTTTAGACCGCAAATTTACTTTTAGGCGGTGTAGGCAATGTTATGACGGACCTTCAGCCCGATTTAGTTGGGTCAATTAGCGCGCGAGTGTTTGGTTACGCGGCCGTCTGCTATTGGGAGATATAGTTGCACACACCGGTGTGTGGCTATTTTGTCTAAGGACGTGCAAGTGTAAGCCAAGATCGTCGTCATCGTTGTTCCAAAGTATTACTGTCATAACTCTAAAACCCAAAGCATAGACGAAATCCTCTTGACGTTACTACCATACAGCATTCTGTTATATATATCGTCTCATTCACTTTCTAACTATGGACTGTAAGTCTAATCTGTAGACTGTAAGTCTCGTATTGGGAGTCGAATTATTGGTTGAACGATCACACCGTGTTTACCTACGTATTCCGTCATGGGCTTGAAACCCTAAACCCAAACACATGTGTGGAAGCAGTGCCTTGTCGAAATTTATGGTCACTGCGTCCTGTCTCAATAATGTTTACTACATACGATGTCAAAGACTACATACCATGTCACAGGGTGTGGCATAGGAAGATAGAGTCCACTCATAATTACACGAACACTTTACTTTAATCACTGTAACATACAGTCATGGACTGACCGAAAAGGAACTACTCGAGTTTGTGAGCACAAAAGCCAAACCATACCACGAAACGGCCGACAACCGGTTACCGGAAATCAAGCATCCCGGCGGTAATCACCATGACAACAGCCAACTCACCACCGGATCTGAACACCCTGACGCTGGCGAGAGACCCATAGCACTTTAAAATGATCACTAGGTTACGGTTACTATAAAAGATCGTATTGCTTTAGACACTGAATGATTACGACACGTTGGAATCTATGCACATTTTAATTTCTGCAAAAGAAATTTCTAATTTATGCTCCGACTCTCACACCCAAATGAACATTGTTGATTACGATCAGTTTTGTAAATGCATCACATATTCAAAGTGACTGGTACTAAGAATATCATTGTTTAATATACAACTATCATGATTCTCGAAGAAAGTTTGTACCGAAATGTGGAATGCAGAGTGGCAGAACATGTGTTGAATAATCTATTACTCATTTTTATTGAAGAACATGTCGGGTGTTTGATTTGACCATTTCCCACCTTACAGTTGACACCAGGGCTTCACTAAAGCAGTGACCCAGGTCTCCAGAGTACTTCAATCAGTTTTATAAACCTCCTGAGTTCAGACTACCCTGTAATTTGTTCAGACTTAAATAAAAGCTGAGATATGAGGACTAGTCTGGTAGCAAAAAATTAACCAACCTAGTTCCATGACTCGTTGTAAGCAGGAATACGTCGATATAGGCATATCTCTAACTTCATCTCCGAAGAACGTGAGAGGGTCATCTTTAGTGAGGAATGAGGTTTCATCTAGATCGTATAACATAGGTGGAGCCATATTATATACTTCACTCAAATTGTCCCTTTTCGTTTTTGTGTAATCTTGTGCGCGTTACAACTTGAATGATCTCTTTTGCGCTCGAAACGTGATTTGTATATTGAGTGTGTCACCCTCAGACTCATCTATTCAAGATAGTCTTATCTATAGAGGGAGTGAGTCATTTGTGGATTCGCACCACTAACACACTATACAGCCGCCATAGCATAGACCAATGCTCAGTTGTACCACCTTGTTATGGCCTTATAAGATTGTATAATTATATCCGTATTGATCTGTCGCATTCTCATCACTAACATAATTATATCTTTATTGTTATGTCGCACTCGCTTCACCGATTAATCTAGAAGTCATTGCTGCATAACTTTCATTTGCGTAGTGTTCATAAATTGATTGTGTATAGCAAGTGATTGGGTAAATAACTAGATATATGTAAAGCAAATGATTAAAGATGTGGAGTAAATACGAGTTAATGGAGTGCATACGATAATAACTCTCGTTCTAAAGTATCTAATTGGTATTAAAAATATAATCGCACGACTGGCGTTAAGCGTACGGCGGCGGCCATATGTAAGACTCGATTCTACGACTCTACGTCTCTATGTACGACACTCGTGCAATCTAGAGAGTTATGTATGTACAGCATATTTTTGAAAAGGATCTATGGCATAATTAAAATTTATTCAAAAAAGTCTGGCATATAAAAAAAGTCTACGGCATATTAATACATGTATGGTATTTATTTCAAATGACTGGCACAAAATGCCTTTGGCAAAATAGATTAATATCGCTATTTTACAAATAAATAACAATCAATTGTGCATCTAATTATTGTATCGCATAGCGGCATAGCCTTGTTATAATTTAGAAGGCTATGCTCTATGGCATATTTTGTATAAGTATAAAAAAAACAAAACTTAAAAAACTTAAAAAGATGTCCAGTGGCAACTGTGGCAACTGGCCACCGGCATATATGTTTAAAAGATACATCATAGCCTACTAAATAAAACATGCATGCATATTTATTTCCAAATATACGGGAGAAGTCGGCTCTTCCAAACACTGACGACTGAAGTCTGAAGTCTTTCTCAACTTTGAACAAGTCTGAAGTCTGAACTTTGAACAGTCAGACAACGGTCATTACCACTGGGATAAATAAGTACACCGAAGAAGTGGGAAACCTCTTTTTCTCTATTTAACAAGTAAATACCAACTTATTGAATACTCATATAGTCCAACACACAGGATGTACAAATGAAATACAGTACATAGATAAATTAACATACGAAGACTTGGTCAATTTTAAAAATATTTTTCATTCAAGCATAGCGAGGTGAACTTTTAGAGCCTTTTTCTTAACTTTATATACGATTGTAGCCAGACGGGTTGAGGGGGTGGTAGAGATTGTAGTACAATTTAGAACAAAATAGTATTCAAAAAGTGTGTACATCTTGAAAGAACTATATATTTGGAATAATAGACGCAGCTGCCTAACGCTTTCTCATTCACTCGGGTGTCCGAAAGGCGATAGGTTTGAGATTTTGCACAGAGTTGATGAAGTATAAAACATACTAGCTTTATTTTTGAATGCAAATTTAAAGATCGTAATTGCTACATACATCAGTGTGAACTTGGAGTGTGACCCACATATTCCCGTGAATCAAATGAGCTGTATTACCAGCTTTGTCCAAGTATTCCACTTTCACAGGCGCTGTCATTCCTGTTCTTGTTAGCACTTCATCTATTCCTCCTCTCTTCCTTTGCGAAATCACTGGCATGTATAGTGTATACTTCTACTGACAAATATAGTTCTGATCGTTTGGTTTGCGACCACCCAAACGGGATCCGGAGCAACGCTCAGAATGTGCATTGACAACCGAACTAGTATTTAACTGGAGAGACGTATTAAACCACCGATCACTGTTGTATTCGATATCCGGATCTGCAAAAACGAAGCACCAGTGAATAGATATGAACCATTGAAGACAATGTACAGCGAGGGCAATAAAGCGTTAGATTGTATACCTGCAATTTTGTACGGAAGGACAGCGTGGCTGTGAAATAGTGCTGTCTGTCGTAACACCGGCACCGCTAATTAAATTATTGGCTAGGTTGGAAATGTCACACATTTGCGGAATGCTCTGTGGTCACGAGATACCTCAATGTACAGAACGATTGATGGACCCGCCCATATCAGCTATGATGGCGCGTATCTTTCCAGATAGATGATATAACATGCAAGGCAGCAGAGTTTGACAGTAATCGTATGTTCCTCAAATGTATTTGTAGATAAGATTCAATTGATATGTGCTGTTAAATATAGTACTGTCAAAGTCCCTAATATATAAATTGTTGTAAATGGAACAGAATTGATCTGTGCTGCTAAGAACAGGTCTATCGAATTCTTCCTATAAATATAACCTAATACTTGAGATCCACATAGAATTGATAATCGTCTGTAGGTCTCGATCTATTAGCTCACAATTGGTCATGCAAACTATTAACCACATTTATCATGATAGTCATCATATCACAAGGTATCCAGAATATGCAAGACTTCCTTCTACAGTTGAAACCTATTTACGCGATAAACAATGAAGTGGTGTGTGTCGGTCAGCATCTGTAATTAGTTTAATTTATATCGTACATCTCGAATGCTTATCAAACTGTCCATCGGAATTTGTTCGTTCTTGAGGCCAACTTTTCAACAAGTAAACATGTGCGCATATGCGTCTCCATAACAACCACATTATTATCCAGTTTTAGTGTATATTGTTGCATTGGTGCTCTATTTTATTTACATAGTAGTGCAATAGTGCATACATGTCTACGGAGTGTGGATCAATCTCTATATATATTACCTGATGCATGTACGTTCATGACTGTTTATACGCTCGATCCCAAGTAACGGACGTAAGGATATCTCTTGACTAATAATTGAAGTGCCGGATTACCACCTTGATGCAAAACAAACGTGCATTAAGCAAATCAAGGAATCTGCTTGACTAATATTTGGAATTCGCTGTTGAGTGCCAGAGAACCACTTTGATGCGAATCGAGCCTGTTTCACGCAATTCAAGGGAGTTGTTTTGCTTCTTTCCCACACTCACCCCCAGAGAAGGAGAAATAATAATCGAAGATACGAATAATAACTTTACGAGCTTGGCAGTCACATTCAAGGCTCAAATACCGATCAGAAACTGAATGGCTCCAGATGTTTCAGTCTGTACGGCCCTGTGTGCCAAGTGTTCGCTACTAAGATTCTGGGTATGTGACGTTTTTTCTTTGCACCTATCACTTAAATTGTAGCCTTGACTGACCCATTGTTGACCTCTTCGAAGGGCATGCCCTTTTTTTTCAAGAATTCGTGCACTGTTGCATTTAGAAAACAAAAGACAGAGCCGTTCTGTTAGTGAGGGAAAGGAGAACAGTAATCTAATAAAGCTCGAGCTAAAATGGACTCCTTTGGCGTGGTCACAATATACACACACTAGGAAAGTTGACGCACCTTTTGGCTTGATCTTAGGACCGTGAAAATCACTGTGGTTGCCGGCTCCTGTAATTATCGTGACTTCTTTTAAGCCCTTCGCCTTCATATCGGCAATAAATGACTCTAAAAGATTCATGGCCGGCTCTACCTGTTGCCCGTGTAAATCTGTGGTATGGTGCAATCGTATCGGATAGTGAGTGGATATTGATTCAGATGGGAAGCATGTCAGATTGCTGATGTGCAGTACGTGATGGTGGCTAAGACCGCTTATCTATAGTGGTATTCACAGCGATGGTTCTACTAGAAAACTTCAAACACCCAAAGAGAAGGGAGATATATAGTGCATACAACTTTCAGCGTACTCACCACAGGTGCCCTCTGGATGGTCTGCATTGACCTTCTTAAACATGGCCCTGGACGCCTTTCGCTTGGCTTCCTCCATGAGTTTGCCCTGTTCTTTGCCCTTGTTGGACAGTTCCTTGGCCGCCGCGTCATCGCCCTTGTCATGGGCGGCCTTTGATTTGTCAAAGTACTCGCCGCGTTTTTTGGCATGCTCGTCTACCGCGGCCATTAGCTGTTTGTATTCGGCCTCTATGTCCTGGGACTGTCGATTTGGGTGCAATAGTGCGGTTGCTTGTCAGACTAAGCCACAGCCTATGTAATACAATGCACAGTGCCAACAAGCAAGCAAGCAGACTAGCTAAGTCAAGTGCCTTTATAGACCGCACATACATGTTCTTCCTCTTTGGCCTTCCTGTGCTCATACGTATCGTCTTTTGTTTTAAGTGTGTCGACAGTTGTTGGCGCATGGTCCGGAGCTGTAACCCAAAATTACAATAGTACGATACGAAAAATCAGCTTTCAGGCACACACACAGAGACAACGCAAAACAATACATAACAAAGGAAACCTCGACTATTGTAGTCTTCTTGGATGGCTGGGTTTTAGGTGGCTCAGCTGTCGCGGGAGGTGTCTGCTGCTTAACTGCAGAGTGTGCGTGTGTATTGATTACGCGCAGTGTTAGTAGAACATACGCACACGGTGCGTACAACTGTATTCAGAAACGTGTCCTAACTAGCCTCCCCATCACAGTCAAAGCGAGAAATGAAGGTAATTCAGGCGTGCGAGATTGGCATACCATCCGGTTTGGAGGCTGCTGCCTGCGATCCACAGCAATTTCCCATCGTATCAAATTAAATTCTCGTATTAAACTGTGGGGATTGGAACCTGCTTATGGGTGTATAAATAGTAGCACATGAGTGACACAACATGTCTCTTGTTCAATCGAATACTAACACGTACATTCGGAATACCTAACATATCAAATGAATCGGCCCAAAAACGTACGAGAATCCGAGGCAATCCAACACGATGTCAAGAGAACACATCACATGTGACGGGCAAGCAAGCTCAAATCTAGCGTCACTTCAGAAAGGTGGCTCGCTCATGAATCTCGAAAAGCCATTCCGCTGATATCGCGAGCCACCATTCAGCAAACATTTGCACAGGCATCAGCCGAGACATGCTAGTGTATTGATCTTGGATCATCCATCTCAAATCAGTGTATATCAGTCTAGTGTTTGACATAGCACATCGTTCATATGACAGCAAAAGTGATACATACTGGAAGCCACATCGTATACACACAATTTCTGCGGTCAAAGCACCGTCACTCACTGGTGTAACCATCAATATACATCGGCTACATTTCACAAGTAACACATACCGATAATGCATTCTGTGAGACTGATATCTATCAAAGGCTATACTTCTAGCCATCTAGGTGCACATACACAGCCTGAGTGCAGCACACGTCGAGATAAAAAACACGACTGAATGCATGCTCAAATACAAACATTGATACAAGTGATGTGTTTTAACTTATTCTCCGGCACAAATATGTTCCGGCACACCAACGCGTACAAAAGTAATACACACGTACCTTTGAAAATTCATAAAATGAACGCACCCGAATGGACCTGAACAACCACATACTGGGTATGTGTGTATCTTAGAATATGTCCAAATTACTTGTAAGATGCACATATAAACCTTAAAAGCTCTTCAGCAAGCAGTTTTAGATTCATACACTGATTGATACCGTACAGGATATGCTGACCTATCATTTAAGCTAAATTATTGGCTTGTGCATTACTTGTGCGCCTAATCATCTATAACTAGTGGCAGCAGCGTGAAACAAGATGTAGCTGCGTTGGCACTCGAAATTCTTGAAACCGATGTACCAGCACATCGCAAGTGCTTATGTATTGAGAACAGTTAGCGTACGATAAACACAACTAAATGACTGGCCACAAGCTTTGAAAACTTGTCGTATATTGGTGCAAATAACCAACTACAATTGGTGGCCACAACGTGAGACATGGAGCCGCGATGGCAATCCAAACTCTTGAAATGGATGTACATGCAATTCGCATACACACAAGTAGTGAGCTACTGAAGTTGACGTACGATGAATATCACTATACGACAGGACACAATATTTGAAAGCCTGTCGTATAAGTGTTTAAACAGTTTGACTAAGCTTCAACAATTCAGAACATTCACAATTTCACAGTATAAAATTCTGGCATACTTTGATTCTATTGTTCTTGCTGGATGATACGTTTGCGTGTCTTTACTGAACCGGAATGATATAATGCTTCGAAACTGCCATTCACTATCATTTATATACATACCTCACTTGACACACAGATCTCTCTACTTTTGTCTTTTGGAAAGGGAATAAATATAATACCAACGAGATCATCATAGGTAGGAACACCACAAAATTCAACTATATAAATACATAGTAAATACTAATACAGATTTACTATGTAATATTAAAATGCGCAACACAACTGTCCGCACGAATCCTAAACTCTTGGGACCTGGGCAACGCGAGTCACAAATTGCTCTAATGCATAAGTTTAGCATTTGTGGACTTTAAGCCAATCATTAGTGTTATTTAATTTCTAACCCCTGACGTCTGTGTAGACTGTCGTAGAGTGCCATTTTTTTAACCAACAGATTGATTTAGATTATTCGGTCAGTGACTCACTGCCATGACGAATACTTTAATTGAACAACGACAAGTCTTCCTTCGGGTATGGTTGGGTGTCATCTGTAACATCCAATTGGCAATCGTGGTTTTAGTAAAAACTAAAACCCCTAAGAAAAACAAAAACCTTCAACCCAAACTCGTCAACCTCTCTCGTTTGTTGTACTTAGGGTTTTATTTGGCATATTTTGTTTGTTTGTTTGTTTTTTAAATACAAAACCCTAAAAACAAAACCAAAATAGACGACAACAACAAACAAGGGGGTATAAAATATCCCACACAATGGGAAGTAACATAGGAAGAATGCAATGCAAATGTGGGATTTTTCTATTATTCCTATTATCTCGCACATTTGGCACATGGCTGCATGGTGGTGGTTTGCCGAGAATCTGAGTTAAATTGAGTTTCGATTTTGAATATATTCAAATGGCCGATCCTGTGGTTGTGGAACACGGAGAGACCAATGTAACTAGCTATGAAATTTTAAAAATGTTGTACTGTAGTCAAATCTCATTTTTCGTCTACCTTATTTTACGATGTCCTTTTTCTTTTGGCTGGGACGCAAATCTTGTTTTCAGTATGTACCAGAATAATGAATCTATTAGAACTTGTCATGACCCTCTAGAAAGAGAAGAAGACTTAAAATTAACAAAATATAGGGGACCGAACTAACGTCCGAAGGACTTGTTCTATATTCTCCCAAGAAAAGTGGATTGGCATGTGCTTTTACGATAACAACGAAAACATTAGAATGTATATAGAAAAAGCCGCAATAAGCACCTTCGATCGAAGTAAAAAACATTGAATATAAGAATATAGATAGATTAATATTCAATTAAAATAGTAGTGCAATATTAAACCGTAAAGAAGTAGAAAGTCAATCGTGCTACACCAAAGATTGTGGAAATTCGAATCCGATTGATAGCGCTCACAGATGCGTTGGGTGCGAGTGTACAATGTATGCGTTCTATGGTGTTGTTCTCTCTAGGTGCGGGATATGGCAGGCAGAAATATTGCCTATCGAAAGTGATAAATTAAATCAATGGCTACCGCCAGGCGCCAACTGAGCCAAAAAATATTGACACCACTCCAGTTGAATCTCGAACAATCTTTAGACCGCTGTACATACATACGTGATTCTGATCATTCTTGAAAAGCTAAGAGGGGATGAAAAAGCATTTGATATGTATGCATGACTAAAAAAAAACACACACAAAATAGACGAAAATATAGCACGAGTCACAAGTCACGACTCCTCCATGAGACTCCGAGCCCTCTCTAATTCTCTCAGGTAACCGGGAATTCTCTACACAGCAAGAGTTTACAACTCTACATAGGGAGACTGTGCCACTGTGGTCTATGGCTCTGTACATAGTAAATACATACCTCTCTGGACAATGTAAACTGTGAGTGTGGAGTTTGGACTGTGGACTCGTGGATTGTGGAGTGTGGAACGGACAGACTGTGGAGTGTAGAGTCTGTGACTCTGTGTCTCTGTGAGTCTGTGAGAATGTGAAGTGTGGACTGTGTGTGGAGTGTGGGACTGTGGAGAGCCTGTGAGTCTGTGAGAGACTGAAGAGTGGACGGTAAATATTCACATAGTAAAATAAATTCGTCAATTGTGCCTATTTCAGTCTATTTGTACACAATAACTCTAACTAATAACGCTATGGCGAAGTATATGATTATATCTAAAAAAAAACGTGGTGCTCTCTCTTGTTCTGAATGAGAATCCGAGGCTTCTTGGCGGAACCCATTTTACCCCTATATCCCAAAAATACTATTATATTGGTGTACATCTGGATATTTCCCTTTTATAGACAAAAAGATCTAAAATATCAACTCCAGTAATTTTATTTATAAATTGATGGAGGAGAAGCACTGAACACCTGTGATCTTATTTAAATATCTGATTTTAAATGCCATTGATTGAACATCTCCCATCTAGTCCGAACTCCAGCTGCGAATGTGAGTGAAATATTATATTTTATTAAAATAAAATTATACATATAAAAAAATGGAGGCCAGACCGCCCCCGCCGGGGGCTGTATTTATGAATGTAAATAAGAAGCATTTTTTTTTGTTGTTTTTTAAAAACAATTAAAAAAATTAAAAACACAAGAAGTCGCTTCCAAAACCTGTGAAATCTAAATAAAGGGCTAAACTGTTCTTAGGTCTCTTGGGCTAAACTTTAATAAACTAATCAACTTCCAAATTTACTCTGTTCCTGTGTTCCACAGGCAGCCAGGCATTGCCTTGTTGTTGACTGCCGGCAGTGCCAACTGACAGTTCACAGCTGTGACAGCACTGAAAGGTAAATAAAAACTCAAAACTGGAAACTCAAAACCACTGGGGGGTTTTCTATATATATAATAAATTTGTACAAAATAGGAGGCTGTGTGTGGTAAATTATTAAAAATACGAGTTGGTGACTGGCTGGGTGACTCTTGTGAAGACGAAGTTGGTGAATGTCAGAATGATGGACTGTGGACATCTCACAGCTGTGAGACTGTGACTCTCTACTAGTCTCTCAGTAGAGTCTGGGGCTCTGGGCCCTGGTGGCAGTGGTGGGAGAGTGTCAGAGTGAGGAGTTCATCAGTTCAAGACTGTCAAGTCCAAGGACTCCAACAAGTGTCTACTCAGACTTTGTGTTCTCATTTATTATCCAATAGCTGAAACTATAATGTTGAAGAAACCACGTTATAAAAGAATTAAAATTATTGGTGTATATAGCTACACGGTCGCTTCTACTACACCCATTGGCTACGCACCATTTGCGGCTTTTTCAATAGTTTTACTTTTGTGTTTCTGGTTTCACTGTTCAAATTTTGTTTTTTAGTATTTAATTTGATTTTTATTTAAAAAAATAGAAACCACCTTTTTATTTTAGTGTATTGATGACCATCAATTTCACTCACAGACCAGTCCCAGAGGACCCAGACTCTCACATAATCATATGGACATTAATTGTACGTATTTTATAATAGTCGCAATATTGTTCATATCTGTATTTATGACAATCCCAATTATGGCTACATTTCGTACTACAAACGAAGCCGTCAATAGCTAAGGAGCATCGCTTAGGGACACACAGAACAGCTACCAGTTTGCATAGTGATTCATATTCATTGTAGCGTGATTGGTAAAGTCAATGGCAACGCGGAAAATACAACACTTTCATAACATACTCAGTGTCAACGGATCAAACGAAGTACTGATATATGCGTAGGCACAGATATCATCGAACGTACAGTATCTATACATATATTTTCAAGGATTCGGATATACACAATAAGTGAATAAGAACAGTTTGACATACAAAAACAGCGCATAAACGAGTGGAATTAAGGTGGAGGCGAGTCATGCGTGATAACCACTCTCGGACTGGGTAGTGATTGGTGGGGTTATAAGACAAGGTATCACATTTAGACATGCGGACTTCCGAAGATAAGGTATGCAATAGATATATTGGGGAACACACTTCAACAGTACAATAAGGCTTGGTTAGATAAATCGTGCACAATTAATAGGACAATACACACCCATCCGATGGCTAACTGTATAGCTAAATCTATTTTATATAAGTGAACCGGTGTACAGTGCAACTTATTTGACATATACACACACTCACTCACTCACACTCACTCACTCACTCACACTCACTCACTCACTCACACTCACTCACTCACTCACTCACACACACTATTATATATATATATACA